CCCTCCCTCCCTCGGCTGCTGCTTCCCATGTTCCAGCCCTGGCGTCCCTGCGCCGGGACACCTGTGGTTCCTGCAGTCCTGTCTCCAGGGTCCCTCAGGGCCCTTCTCCTTCCTGTCCTCTCCCCGCCGCCCCTCGCCCCATCCCCCCCGCCCTCTTGGGGGTCTCTGTCCTCGCCCAGGGCTAACGCATGACCAGTGGTTAAATCCGATACAGGGGAGAGGAAGCGCGTCTGGACGCCCCGCCGGGGAGCGGCGGCAGAGGCCGAAGCAGGAGTCAGACTGCGCGCTCCTGTAGCTCGGCCCCATGCGGGGCTGCCCCGTCCCTCAGCGGCGTCTCCTGCCCACGTTGCTCGCTCGGCCACTCCACTCCTGAGATATATGGACGGCTGGAGGGCAGGCAGGTGGTCAGCGCCAGCGTCAGACTGGGCCAGGCCCCTGCCCCCATGTGCCGCTGCCTGCTCTCCTCCCAGCCACCCAGCCACGATGGCAACATGGAGGCTGGTGGGCTGAGGCTGTCTGATCCCCGACTCCTTTTCCCCGAACAGTGAGCGCTACTATGCAGACTCAGGCTCCGGGGTGAGGTCCCTGAGTAGAACTTCAGCTCTGACCAGCTGGGTCCTGCTGGCCGTCCGGCAGGCCTGCCTCCGTTTCTTTCAGAGTGTGATTTGGGTTTCCATCTCCATTACTTGTAATGCCTTCCTAGGGGATTGGAAATAAAACTTCTCTCCTGAGGTCTGTTGTTTGCTTTACCCTGCAGGAATGGGGTTAAGTATTTGACCCAGCCGAGGAATGCAAAAAGGGAGGGTAGCCAGGGTGGCCTGTCATTTCTAAGAGAGCCAGCAGGGGGAGCCAAAGCCTGCCCCCCACCGCCGCCCCAGCCTTGTTTTTGTTTCTCCGTTTTCAATGGGTCTTTTTTGGGAAATGTGTTTGTTGTGTGTGGTTTCGTCGATTCTGACTCACAGCGACCCTATAGGACAGAGCAGAACTGTCCCCATACGGTTTCCAAGGCTGTAGTGGCGCAGAGGTTAAGAGCTATGGCTGCTAACCAAGAAGTCTGCAGCTTGAATCGGCTAGCTGCTCCTTAGAAACTCTATGGGGCAGTTCTGCTGCGTCCTATAGGGTTGCCATGAGTCGGAGTTGACTCGGCAGCAATGGGTTTGGTTTTTTTTTTAATAATCTTTACAGAAGCACATCCCCAGGTCTTTTCTCTCTTGGAGCAGCTGGTGGGTTCAAACTGCTGACCTTTCAGTTAGCAGCTAAGTGCTTAAGCATTGTGCCACCAGGGCTCCTTCTATAGGAAATAGTGCTCTAATCTGGGGGGGGGGGGGTTTCCAAATCCCTGCTTTGAACAGATGAATTTGGGGTTGTGCTACCTGCTAACCCCAGACTTCCCAGGCGGGGAGGACAGCCTGACCCTCTGCTTGTGGGTTCACGCAAACTGTCCTTTGCGACTTTGGACCTCCTTTCATGATAACCATTTCTTCTTCTTTCTGACTTTGTCTTGGTGCCTCTTTCTCAATTATTCTGCCTGAAATTTCCTGGGGAAGAGAGAATAATGGCAGCAGGGGGAGAGTACGGGGGGGACTTTGATGACTTCAGCACCGGGGCCCCAAACAGGAGTCCTTGGAATGTCCACCCGCACATCAAAGCCACCGCCAACTCCAAGGCCCCCTCCCAGCCCGTGTCCTGCTCCACCCAAACTTCAGTCAGGGAACACAAACTACAGTGAAAAGTTTGCCAAAAGAATTCAAGTACCAGTGAGCTGTTCTGGCCCAAAAGGCATGGGAAGGGTGAGTGGGGCAGAGACCATCCAAGAGACCCCATTACCTCACGCCCAGGACCGAGCCGCAGGACCCACGTGCGGGCGTCACTTTGGGGTCAGAGACTGAGGGCTTAAAACAAACTTGGAGTTCCAGCCTCAACAAGAAGCCGGAGCTTGTGGTGCTTAGTGGGGGTTTGTCCTGTCTGGAGGCCCAGCTGGGCTCCTGCAGGCTCAGCCAAGCTGAGGAACCTCAGATCCTTGAATGTCATGTGGAGGTGGGGGACAGGGAGCTCTCAGATGTCTTCAGCCCTGCACAGGGCTAGTAGGGCTGACCGGCAATCCCCTTTCACTCCATCCTGCAGACAAAGAAGTCAAGTGTTTGGAAGATCCATCACCACTGCGGCCCACGCACTCTGCCCCTCCCTTGACCTTGTCCATAATTTGTCTGGGAGGAAAGGATTCTCCCTAACGCCGGGAGCACTACGCTGAATTAATCAAGGACTTACGAGTTCTCCAGGGCATAAATATGCTCAGCTGTGCACAGGAGCTGCAGTACATGGGAGGCGAGAGGGCTGAGGCTCTGGAGCTGTAGGCCAAGAGCTTGCTAAGTCTCACCTGGACAGAAGAGTAAAGGGACTTCCCAAATTTCTTCTTGAACTCAGCTCGGATGCTGAGGAGGTCAGTCTCACTTCGAGAGATGAGGATGCGCGTCAGGACTTGGTCATTGGGCTCAGTTTCCTGGCAGAGGAAGAAACAGATTGGGGGGGGGGTGGTTAGGAAGATTCTCACCGAGGGTAGGGATTGGATGGCACGGTGAGTTATTCTAGGAAGTGGAGGAGGTGAGGTGGCAGTCAGGGGAAAGAGAAGGGAAAAGTTATCTGTGCCATTGCTCAGAGAAGCTGTTGCCAGAGGAAAGATCTGCTCTTCTCTGTAGGGGAAGCTAGAGTATTTCTCTTACTCCTTCCACGTGTATTTTCTGGCCCTGTCTAGCTTACAGCCTCCCTCCCCCAGAGCTCAGCTGTGGGCAGCTCCAAAGACAGGTATGCCAAAAAGGCTAGAAGAGATCTGCTGCTATCAAAGGCTTCCGGCAGAAAAACCAGGCAAACTTCCAAGTTAGTGAATGTCCAAGAAGGATACAACCACCCTACCCTCAGACTGAGCTGATGGGACTCTGAGAAGGATTGGGGCCACGGGACTTCTGGTTCTAACCCGGACCCACTAGGGCCATGTCACATCCCCGTCTTTACACGTCCGTGTCTCCTGGTCGGACCCTGGGGTTTCAACGTCACTGTCTTCCTCTTGTCCCTCCACTAGGCCTCTTGCCTTTTGGTTAAAGTCCTGGGAGGTTCAGTTTAGAAATGACAGAGGTACAATCAATTATCAATTCATGAACTAGAATTTATTTTAATGAGTAATGTGTTATTCTGAGAGATTTCTAAATAATATTCTACATAATCTATGTTTTCAAGTATCTCTCGTAAAAGAATAGGACAGAAGCAACCTGACTGAGTTTTTCCTTTTTTTTAAATTTTCAGATAAATGGGCCTATATTATTGGGCCTGTGTATGATGGGTGCTGAAATGCCATCTGGGTCATGAAATGTGCGCTAGCGCTGTGACCATTTCCTAATATCCTCATTTTCACAGCTTCCTCAGTCACTTGACTCAGGAGACGCTTCGAGCACTGCCCGCAGCCCCCACTTACGGCATCCCCGCAGGTCAGAAACCCCCACGGAGAGACAAAGTGACCACAACGGCAAGCTGTGTCTCAGCTGGACTTATTACCTAATTGTCAACAGGCCTGATGGTTACTTTGTTTTAAATTTCACGCATCACCAGTTTGGTATTGGGGTAGAAGTTGCTGATGGCTCCCCAACATCCATGCTTCTCTTCAGCCAACTCGTGTCACTCCAAAGTGGTATAATTGGGGAAAGAATCACTCGTTAACTGGACATTCTCCTTGGTGAACTTCTCGTCTACAACATCTACAGGAGATCCATTTTTGAAGAATTGGAACACTGCATAATAGCGTACCCTCTACATCAAGCTAGATTCCTAGGTGGTGCAAACAGTTTGTGCTCTACTGCCAACCTAAAGATCGGCAGTTTGAACCCACCCAGTGGGACTGTGGAAGGAAAACCTGGTGATCTGCTTCCATTAAGACAACAGCTAAGAAAACCCTCTGGAGCAGTGTTACTCTGTAGCATATGGGGTCACCATGAGTTCGAATCAACTCAACCGCAACCACCAACAACACATCAAAGCGGTGTTGAATGTAGTTCTATTTTCTGATGCTTCAGAATGCGTTTGGCATTGCATACTGCCCTAGGATCTTCGTAATGAACACTCGTTCCTTTGGCCCAAATTTGTCCTGAGTCAGCCTTTGATGAAGGTTGTTTTTCTAAATAAATATTCTAGATGATCTGTGTTTTCCCATAGCTCTCATAAAAGAACAGTACAGAAGTATCCTGATTGAGCTTTTCCTTTTTTTTACGTTTTCAGATAAATGGGCCTGTATTGCTAGTCTGACTCCTACTTCTAAGATAAATCTGCTGTTTACTTCAAGAGCCTGGGTCCTGTAATCCAGACACATTGCAACCATTTACTGCTGGGATACAAGTTTGTTCTTATGACAAAAATTTAGACCGATAACCACAACTCTTCAAATGAATCTTACTGTTGGCTCATTCTAACAGCGGAGGCCTTATTGGGCAAATACAATAAACTACTGTCCAGATGGAAATCTCTGGATGACGGAACAAGTGCTTATATGCACTGTCTTTTGAATGGCTGTCAACAAGGCAGGATGGTTTCTCAGCCAGGATACAGAAAGCTATTCCATCTGCAAAATGGAAACGACTTCTGTCGTCTTCAGATTTTGCATATTCTCTAACGTGGTGAGTTTTTTTTATTTTTAGGTTTGGGGACAGTTCTATTAGTAGGAGATCTAGTTCAATGAACAGTGACTGTATCCTGTTGGTAAAATTACTCAACCAAAGATCACCAACCTAAGCATGGATGATTGAGAACAAATCTGACCACAGTGTGGAGGAAAGTGGCGTGGGTGCAAGGAAACTCGTGGTTCAGCCGACCAGGGGTTGACACACGGCAGTTAAATGTCTGCTGGACCATCATGTGTTTGCTGGGAAGACTGTATGACTGACTCACTGTGTGACCTTAGGCAAGGGACTTAACCTCTCTGTGCTACGAAAACGAGGGTGATATTGTTTACCTGCTGGAGTGTGGTTGTGAAGATTTACTGAGATGTGTGTAAGGGGCTCAGCTCACAATAAGTGCCTAAGAAATGCTGCCTCTTTTCGCTTCCTCTTGCTACTGTTATCGTCCTCATTTTGGCAACAACTGAGATGAGGTAAGGCACTGTCTTGCAGAGCACATTCGTATCTACATTTGGCCACCTAGACCTCAACGAGGCCAAAATTTTAGGTTTAGTGCCCACATGGGTCAACTCACATAGCCCTAACCACAGCTCCCAGACAAGACAGTTGACAAGACAGTTTGTAAACCTAGGGAAAGAACACCACTACGTGTTTACAAAGGATACATGAGATTGTTACGTTAGTAGCAGCCTGGGACTTCCTCTTTCTTGCCCAGGAGTGTCTCCCGCCAAGTGTTTGTTACAGAGGGAGGGGGAAGGTGTGTCCCTCTCACCTGGAGGGCTTGGTGAAGTTTGGCAGCAAAGTACAGCGGTGTGTTCCTGATCACCGAGGCTGGACGCAAAGAGGGAAAAATGGAGACAAGTGGCTAGGGAGCAACTTCCCACCCAGGAGAGACCCCTGTCCCGCATGTCCTGACCGGACCCCTACCTAGGCTGAGCAGAGCCACCTGGGCATCGCCATGGAAACGGTTCTGGACAGCCTCCTCCAGCTGTTGCCCAGTGCACCGCTGGTACCGACCAAACACTTGTGGTGTGTGGGGGAGGTAGGGAGACACATTGGAGGGAAGGGTTAATTATCACAGAGAAGGAAGAGCCCTCCCCGCCTTCCTCAGCCAAAACGCATCATGAGAGCAAGCGAGGGACACAGAGCTGTGTGTACCTCGGACCAGGTGTTCAGGATTTCTCTGGGTGAGGATTAGGACCCACGCCCCCTCGGTGCCAGGTTCTTCAGCCTGCCGTAATGCCTGAGAGGGAAGAGAAGGGACCGCTCGGTCAGGGCAGAGTCCCACTCAGCCTATGTGCACACCTGGAAAGGTCTGGATGAATCTTTGGCTCGTAGGATGGGTTCTTCCAACGAGCGTGGCCCTGGCACCTGCAGAGGAGTAGGGCACCCGGGTGCTGGGTCTTGTGCCACCAGGCAGGCGCCTCAGAGCTCTGCGCCAGCCACGGTCCGTCCAGGCGCCTGATTTGCCCCTTAGCCATTCTGACCTCCCGTACCTTGATGACAAACCCCTCTGCCCACTGTCCTTTCCTCCATCAAACCTGAAGTTTCTTCCAGGCTTAGTCCTTGCCTGAGGCAGAGGGGCTGCAGGGGGAAGGAGGCTGGCAGCCCTCGCTAGCAATGAGGGAGACACTGAAGTTAATATCATGTGGACTTGAGGATTGGGGGGGAGTGCCCTGTTCTAACCCAGTGGGCATAAAAGACAGTGGTTTATTTTCCTCTGTAAATGCCCAGTTCTGCCAACAAATCCCCCCCCAAACCGTATCTGGGGGATGTTTGCTGGACAGTCATCATCTGGTCAGATCACCAGTTGGGAGCTGAGGGGCCATGGTTATGTTCCCAGAACCCATCGTCACAACAGTGAAATGGAATTAGATGGTAGAGAAAGTATTTGAATCTGTAAGCTAGCTGTTTTTATTTACAGTTTGTTAAAAAAGGAACAGGGTGGAAAGAGAGGCTTTACCCTTACAGCTGCGTCTCTAATTTGGAAAAATCCTGCTACCCAAGGAGTTGAAGAATCCCCTGAGGAGGGTCTGGGGAGGGCTTCCCACCCAACTGCCGTAAGAGGAGAATCTGCTAGTTGGTGAGCTCATGCCCTGTGCATTCAGGAGTCAGAGGCTAGATGAGTATGTGGTTACCTGACACCCCCGCCCCATCACTGAGAACTGCTTCCCCAAGGCAGGGACAGGTCTGCGGGACAAAGAGGTGCTCAGGTCACTGGCTCTGATCTATGGTAGGGTGGATGTTTGCATGGCTGTACACCCTCCCCAGCCCCTGCTCACCTGAACATCCTGTTCCTCCAGGTTGTAGTCAATGACCCCCGAGTAGCTGTCGCGGTCCCCCTAGGAGAAGAAACTTCTCAGAAGGACTCTTGGAGAGATGGCTTTTGATCTCCAGGCCAACAAAACAAGCCGAAAGCCCTCACTTGTCCATTACACCACAGCCACGGTCTCCACTGGTGAATGAGGCTCCCTTCCCCTCAGGCCCCATCTCCTTACCTTGGCCAAAGCCAGGAGCAGGTCTCGCAAGATGCCACTGGTCTCGGATTTCATGTCCTCCTCAGCTTCCACCTGGAAATCTGGGGGTGGGGTCGGGAGCTCTCTGAACCCTCCTGATATTTCCCAATGTGGATACACCAAATGCCTGACCTACGATGCCCTGCCAGCTCTGCCATCTCCTGCTTGGAGTAGCTGGTGGCTGTTGGTTCCCAGGTGTAAGGTAGAAATGGCCACCTCTGAGAACATCTCTAAGCTGCGAGTAACCCACGCACAGTGGGAATCGGGGTGGGTGGCCTCACCTCCAAGTAACCTGCCAGAGGGAGGAGACATCTATTAGTGGAGTGGTGGTCAGGAATAGAGAAAGGAAGGGGAAGCCCCTGTTAGGAGGTAAGCTGGCTACAGCCTGAACCCTCGTTGGAGGCCCTCGAGGTAGGATGTGAAGGGAAAAGAGAAAAACAGAAGCAAGAAGGGAGAGGTAGGAGAGAGACTGAGAAAACAGGCCAAGGTTAGACATCAAAGGAAAACTGGGGAAAACAAGAAAAGGCGTGATGGTGGTAGGCCATGGATGAGAAAAAGCTGGTCATGAATGGGTGGCTGAGGCATGTGGCACCTGGGCAGGGCTCGCAGCCTGAGGGGTGACACCATGGCTTAGAGAGAGGTCCCCACCTTTCCCCCAGGCCGCAGTGAGGCTCCACTCAGCCTGGAAAGTGGTGTGATGGCAGGGACAGCAAGGGGCTGGGAAGGCGACATGGGTACCCTTGGGACTGTCACACAGCCCAACATTGTCATTACCTTGGAATCTGCCCTGGAGCCCCAGGCTACAATGGTTACTCATTGCCTCTCTTTCCTTAATGACCACATCTGCTATCTCCCCTGGGGAGACTGAGGCACTCGCTGGGGAGGAAGGAGAGATCCCAAGGGAAGAAAATTTGGACAGATAGGTTCCCAGATGGCTCTTCTTGTAGGGAGTGTGGGATAGGAGTGGCCTGTCCGATGAGGCCCTTTCCAGCTCTCGGAGTCCCTTCCCTGCACATTCTTACCATGTTTGTAGACGGCCAAGCACTCCCGCAGCCGGGGTGGAGCTCAAGTGGCGAGAATTTCCACAGCCACATCCTCAGGAGAACTCGAGCCCTACAAGAAATTGGGAGGCCCTGTGTCATTATCATGGCGGACGCAGGGCAGAGAGCAGACCTGACGCTGAGCGCTTCTCAGGAGCATGGGCCAGACCCCTGGAACCTGTATGGGACGGGTTAGCGGAGTGGACAAAGGGAGGCAGTTGGCCCTCTCCTTCTCTCAGTGGTGTCCTCAGACACAGTGGCGTCACTGGGGGGGTGGGGAGGGGGGCAGACCAGACCGGGTGACACGGCGGGGGGTGACACCAAAATGACTGTCCATAAGATTTTTGTGCAGTGTTCCAGAAGAAATTTATTATTTTTGTTAATAAAAATTCTCCTGTTGTTAGTTATAACAACAAAAGTCTTTTTCAGAAGCCCGGCTTAATGTCTCACTATACCTACAAGGCTAAAACTCTATGCTAATTTACTTTTTGAACCTTCTAATGAACTCGGGTCAGAGCTGTCATTATGACTCAATTACAATGACACTTTGAATCACGTGGTTTTGTCTGTACGCTCTACAAGCCCGTGCTGTTGTTTTCGTTGCTGCCCATGTTGTTATAGTTACTGATTTTGTCAAAATATTCTGATGTTTTAGCTACAATATTGCAGTAATTAGCGTGGGGGGGGGTGACACCATGAGTTTCCGCACTGTGTGACATCAACCCTAGTGACATCACTGCTCAGACACCCCAGAAATCCCCTCTCTTGGTACCTTCAAAGCTGCCCTCAGTTCCTGGGCATCCAATCGGGCAGCCGGCTGCATCAGAGCCACCACGACCCTCTCAAGGTTGCCAGAGAGCGCTGCCTGCAGGGTCTTCAGCAGGTCCTACAGTGAATGGTCCCCATGGCAGAGATGTGGGTATGAGGGGGAAGGCCCCAGAAGTGTGTGGAGATTTGGGAAGATTTAGGCGCTTCCCACAGTCTTTGGCCAGTTTTCACCTCAGGCCTGAAGTACTAGCTCCACTCAGCCAGGGGCAGGGGCTGGCCTTAGAGGCTGTGGCTGTAATCTGAGCCCTCCAGGGGGCTTCTCACCCCAGTCCTCCGCTCCTGAGAAATCAGATCCTCACCTGCTGGGTGCGCTCCTGGAAGGCTCTGGAGATGAGCTGCCTTTGCTCTCTGCTCCGATTGGTTAGCACTTCCACAATGGTGGTCTGGTCCACGCCTGAACCAAGATTGGACCTGGGCTGTAAGCTGGGCAGAGCCCAACCAGGTCTTTACAGGGCTGGGGTCCCCTTACTCCACTGACTGGCAGCCTCCGGAAGCAAGAACAAGATCTGGGAAAGAGCTGAGAAGGGAAGAAGCAGGGCCCACCACAATGCTCATTTCCATTTGGTCCCAAAGGAAGATGCAAATAACATGCCAAAACAACATGTGAATCGGACCCAGACTTAAGCAAAGGTGGCCTGATGTGTTGGGAAAAAGTGGCTTTTGGGGGTTCGGCAGGCTTGGATTAGAATCCCAGCACAGCCATAACAAGCTGTGTGAACTTGGGCAAGCCTCTTAACCTCACTGATTCCCAGTTTCCTCATCTGTAAAATGGAGATAATAAGATTTACCTCACAGGGGCGTTGTAAGAATGGTATGACACACCCACCATGACTCTTGACATACAGGAATCAAGTTATTCAACAAACACTTGTTGAGGATCTTTAGTTCTTCCTCCCTGGCTCCTTCTTGGCCTAGAGAGCTGCTTCTAGTAGGTAGATCCCCAAGGGCCACAGGGAGAGAGGCTCACCTTGCCCTGCAATGGCCCTCAGCAGCCTCTGTACGTCCTTGTCCACACTGAAGCTCAGGAAGGTCCTCAGGGTGCCCAGAGTGCCCCAAGCCGCCGTCTGTGAGAGCACAGAGGGACTGGGAGGGGAGGGACACAACAGGTCTACCCAAGCCCCTCCTCTGTGCCTCCCTGTAGCCTCAGGGCCTGCTCTCCCCTGCCTATTCCCCCACCCTCCCACAGCCCTTGAGTTGATATAGAAAAAAATGATTCCTAAAATCCCAACAGCTCCTTACCTTGTTAGCAAGACCCAGGTGGCCAAGGATCTCCTGTGTCAGGGATGGTCCCGTCATCCCACTGGTCACAGACATGGTGCGAGTGGATGCCCTGGGAAGGAAACAAGCTAACTGAGATGAATTTCCCAGCCGTCCAGCCTGTTGCCTTCGAGCTGGTTCCGACTCATAGCGACCCTGTAGGACAGAGTAGAACTGCCCCATAGGGTTTCCAAGCAGCGGCTGGTGGATTCAAACTGCCGACCTTTTGGTTAGCAGCCAAGCTCTTAACCCCTGCACCACCAGGGCTCCTCCCAGCCATCCAGGGCCTCTTTATGACCCCCAGACCCTGGAGCCGGGGTCCCCTTTGCCTGCTCCTTTCCCCTGCTGCAGAAAAGAAAAATCAACCTGCTTAGCAAGTCTGGGAGGCAGAACCAGAGCTGAAGTGGGGGGTAAGAGTAAAGCCCCCACGTTCCTCATCTCTCACCCCCTCCTTCAGGAGGCAGGGATGGATCAAGGATGCTGCTAGAACTAGCCCCCACCAAACCCTCCCCAACGCCAGGGCTGGTCCCAAGGCTCCCCACCCCTGGTCTGAGGTGGCTGCACCCTTCTGTGGTCTGACCTGTCCCTTCCTTCCATGGCCTGGCTGGGTTCTCAGCTGAAGGAACCTGGGGCAGAGTTCAGGAGCAGAGGTGAGGCAGGAAGGTTGGGGCGGGGGGTGAGAGATAACAACCCCTAACACCACGTTCTCCCACCTGCAGCCCCAGCTACAAGCAAGCCCCCAGCCCCCGCCCACAACACAGCCTACCTGCTGTCTGCCTTTCACCCCGGGAGCCACAGCCTGGAATTGCAGGTCAGTAGGTGGAGTCTCTGAGCTGATGTGTGTGTGTGTGTGTTCTTGTGGGCACATGTGTACCTGGATGATGGAGCAGCGCTTGTACTGGAAAAGGAAAACTCACTCCTCCCTCCCCTAAGCCATCAACAAGGTCCCCCCACTTGAGAGCCCAGGTCCAGCACGTACCCAGAGGTGCTGGGGCGAGGTGGCGGCCTTCACGCCTGGTGGTGGAGCTGTGTGGGCACAGACTCCTGTGTGGCCTGGCAGAAGAGAAGGGGGTGTGTGTTGCCCAGGCTAAGCAGCCAGTCAGATGACCTCTTTTGCAGACCAGCCCAGCTGTTGTCTCCTGCTCTGGCCCCTCCCAGACATGGGAGAGGACCAGGCTGTACCGGGTCCGCATACAAACACCTCCCTGCCTAGCATCCCGCCTCCCAAGAACTGGGCCTCCACCCACGCACGTGAACTCAGCTCGCCTCTTAGCAGCTCAGCCCCTGACACAGGAGGCTTTGTGCACTGCTCTCCCTGTGGGGCCAGGTGGGACCACAGAGGCCCGTCTCTAAGTCCAGCTTTTGACCTGGCTCTGCCTCTGGCTCCGGCTCCCTGGGGGGGGCAGGTCAGACAGGCTCCCGGCTGATCTCCAGGCTGACAGAGAAAACCTGTTAGGGCACATACCAGCAGGGCACCCCAGCCTGCACCCCAGAGGGGGTCCCAGCCCAGAAACTCCCTTGACTATGACCTTATTAGAGTCAGCCAGCGTGGGTGCGGAAGGCTAGGGGGCTGTTTACATGGACAGAGAAGGAATAGCACAGGTATTCGGGGGTGACAGCAGATCAGAGTCAAGACAGAAAAATGCACAGGCTTGTTTCCTGAGGAGGGGCCACCCTGCTCCCCGAAGGTGACCGGAAGACGGGGGAGACTCCCTAGGCCTGTTGCTTAGCTTCCTCCTGCTGTCTTTTGCCTGCCAGGGTTGTCTAAGCAGCGGTAATGCAATGCCGGCAGCTGGGCTGTAGGCCATCGATACACACAGCAGTCGGTGAATGGTCCCAGGGAGCCTCTGGGGTCTCTGAGGGGTTACTAAACCTCACAGCTGGCTCCTTTGGGTCTGACAGCTGTCTCTTCCCTGCCTTGCTGGAGGGCTCAGGTAGGGGCTGGGCACCGAAGCTAGAGAGCTGTCTTCACCCCTCTGCCACCTCCCCCAGCCCAGGAAGGCCCCCGCCAGTTTTCTGTGTTCCTGGAGGAGGGGCCTGCAATGTTCCCACAGAGCAGCCAGGCCTGAGGAGAAGGCCACGTAGGGAGAGGAGCTTGGCCGTAGTCACTGCTCCTCACTCTTCTCTCCCTTAGAGTGGAGCACTGAGTTTAGAATTGGACAACTTGGGTTCAATCCCCAGCTCTGCCACTTGTGACATTCTGTGACCTTGGAAAGTCATTTCATCTCTCTGTATCCCAGTTTCTTCACCTGAAAACGTGAGCGTATTGGCAGAAGACTGAGGTGGGGGTGGGGGCATTCTGGGGCATCTGCAGATAGTTTCCGGAGAGGATTGAAGGAGTTAATGTGCGTGATGGCACTTGGCCGAGGAAAAATCAAACACCTAACCCGTTGCCGTTGAGTCGATTCCGACTCACAGTGACCCTATAGGGCAGAGTAGAACTGCCCCATAGGGTTTCCAGGGAGCACCTGGTGGATTTGAACTGCAGACCTTTTGGTGAGCAGCCATAGCTCTTCACAACTGCACCACCAGGGTTTCCTGGCTGAGAGAAGTGCCTTGTAAATTAGGGTTGCCGGATGTAGTGAATAAAAACATAAAACCCCAAGTTAAATTAGAATATCCAATAACTAACAAATAATTTGTTGGCGGTGTAAGCATGACACAAATATTGCATGGGACATATGCACGCTAACAAATTATTTGTCATTTATCTGAAATTCTAATGTAACTGGGGTCCTGTATCTTACCTGACAACAGCAAAAATGGGACTCAATTTCAGGATGGTGGTGAAAAGCAAAGATTCTGCTGCCTTGAAATTCTGGTCTGCTGTGTGGCCTTGGGAAACTAACTTAACTATTCTGTACTCAGTTTCCTCATTGCCAAAAAGGAGACAACAATAGTGTTTACATTGTGGATTGTTGTGAGGACTGCATAAATTAATAAGTGTAAAGCACCTAGAAGAGGGCTGGAGACACAGAAATAGCTACACATGGTCAAAATGTGAGCTAATTCATAGTATTAAATATTGTTACAGTAATATTTTATAATGGTAATTGTTACAACTATTGTTCCTTGTCTCTAAACCCAACCTTGGCTCTCTTCTGAAATCCCCAATCTAGCCACAAGCGGGCACCAGCAGTCACTGAGCGCCTCCGATCTCTACTGGCCACTTGAGGTCTCTGAGCCTCTGGCTCCACCCCCAGATATCAAGGTGCCTACCTCCTCACCCACTTGTTGCCAGAGGCAGCCTCCAGAGGACAGAAGGTTCCCGGCTGGACTGGGGGGCAGACAGGGTCTGGGAAAAGCCTCAGGTAAACATCTCTTCAGGGAACCCAGTTGAGACAGCTCTGGACACGTGAGGAGACTTCCTAGGCTGGGTGACAGTGGGACAGCACCTCAGCAGCCCGGGTCCCCATGCCCTCGGCTTCCCATGGCCTTCAGAGGCTCTCTGTCCCACATGTGCCAAGCAGGTTTCGGGCAGAGGGAACGAAGAAGGGCCAGGGTACTCTCTTCCCCAGTTCAAACCTCTCCAAAGAACACCTGGCAGACGTGCCAGGGTAAACTCTGCAAATGGAGGAGGCAGGCAGAACCCCAGTGGTGTGACAGAAGCTACTTCTCCTGGCCTGTGAGTGTGAGGAGTGTGAGATGCCCTGACGGAGCTCTAGTCCTCCTGTGAGTGTGAGGAGTGTGTGTGATGCCCTGACGGAGCTCTAGTCCTCCTGTGAGTGTGAGGAGTGTG